GGTATCGAAAAAAATCAGAAGTGGAAAAGTGGCGAGGGGATAGAGAAGGAGTTGGATGTTGTCGAAACAACCACCTAAGCGACCTGACAACTCGTCGGGTTAGTTATGGAGGCTATCTCCGGTGGGCTCCATCTTAAGTTTGTGTGAAGGTCAAAGACAACTCGTCTTAGTACCAAGAACGACGCGTTCGTACACAGCCTCCAATGACTTGCTTTTCTTCCTTCGATATTTTCTCTCTCTAATATTTCCACCTTATTTTTACAGCAAATCCAATGGGAGGATGTAAAGTTATTTTGGAATAAACTTGAGCTTGAAAAAATCGAAATAAGCACAAAGTTGTCGGAGAAGAGGTGGACCAAGTTGAGGTATTTGTTGGTCTAATTTATATATACAAAGGACTGTTGCTGATGCTAGAGTTTCTTGTATGGAAATTGGTGAATGACATCTTTCCTTTTATTAGATGGAACAACAAATCCAGGCAACCGAAAATTCCTTACGTCAGATTAATGTAATTCAGAATATGTTTATTGACAGGAGAAATCGTAGGAAGCGTGATTATAACTTGCAGACTGATGAGATAGCATCAAAAAAGGTGAGATCAAGTGACTCTTCAGAGCTTATTAATTACTTCAAATAATTATATGTTTGCCCTTCCATTTCACGATTTAGGTAAAATCAATTGGCCAAAACTAATTGGAAAAAAGTACGATCCTTGACGCAGTTCATGATATTCCCGAAACCTCCTCCAGCAATTACACTGGCACTGAGCAAGAGACTGAGGGCACTTCACCTTTCGAGGTCGACCTGGTAAAGTTCGATGAAGCGTACTTGGAATTGGATCCCAATCGCATGTGGACGCTTAGGAGTGGTAGCAAAGTGGAAGAGGTTATTTATAAGTTTGCCAGAAATTTGCCTGGAGAGACATGTCTGCATTCATTTATAATAAATGATGCCAAATCATTATTTTTCGATGACGAATGGAAAGAAATTACAGCTTCAGAAGTTAAGGATAATTCAAAACTCGAACGTTCTCTTCGGGAATTAATGAAAAAATACACAGTTAAAAGTGTTAAGGAATTGCGAAAAATTGTTTATGAACAATTTATACCGGATGGTAATGAATATGATCAAAGTCTTCATAATAATCTCGATTTTATTAATCATGCATACCGGAGCATGTTATTTTTGTGGCAGAAGGAAGAGAATCCCTTTGACTCTTTGAAGTTAGAGGGATGGTATGAAATGAACGTTTGGAGCCACTTGATCGATCTGGCATTTCACGATATTAACATCGATTTAGTGCGTGGTGAGGGCATGAGCAATGCTTCAAGTGATAGAAAGAATCTTACGAGAACAATAAATTATCGAAAGAAGATTGGTCGAAAAGGTGATGGAGTTTTTAGGTTGTGTAGTGATCGCCTAGAGTTTGGTGCTATAGAGGCAGGTCGTAAATGGGAGGGGCAGAGTGGGACTAAATACTCGAATGATTCCTTAAAATTATTTAAAATGTTGGAAGAACATGATTGCACAACTCGCTACTATATGTGATGAGAGAGAAGACCTTGTTAGGAAATTGGAAGTGATTGGGATTCTTCACGGAGCTAATAGAATTCAAATAATTACGATGGATTATCCAAAAGGATACGTTTCTCGTATAAGACATAAATTTATATGAAGTTTCCGGACGTCTAACTAAATCCAATCCACTTGCTTTTGTTCTGAGGGAAATACCATGCGCAAAGTCTATTATCTTGCGGACATTGGACTTGATAAACCAAAAGGATGACGTTGATCTTGAAAATTTCCTTAAAGACTCCGATGAGGATGGATATCATACGCCTCCTCCCAAAGTTAATACACCTACTTTCGAGACTCCGAAGAAGAGAAAACCAAAGATATGACTAATAAAAAAAAAAGAGATGTTATTGTGTACTTAGTATGGGTAGCTATTATCTTGTTATAAGTTTTTTTCTGAAATTTATGTCCCGGTCACCGCTAATATAGTTTTGATTTAGCAAGCCCGCCCATTGTAATTCTAAGTATATTCATGAATATGGTAGATCAAAAAGTAAATAACCAAAGTTACCGCAAAAAAATTATCATATCTAGGGAGCTTAAATTCTTATAATAATAAAGATTATATCCGAATCATTATTTTTCGCAATTCACAAATTATACTTTATCCCGTGATTATGCCAAATGATGTGTATTTTCAATTTATCACAACTACGTATGCTTTTAGATCTGTAATTTTTATTTTTATTCTGTGTATCGCAAATTTTTGTTATGAAAGTTGTCATATGGGAATATTTGCTTTTGAAACATTTGACGTTTTCTTTATGATCGTGATCAATTTCTACCCGATTAGCAGTTTTCATTGGGATTAACATAATTTATGTTGTTTAATCACCCTTAAAGAATTTGAAGGAGGCAACCCAACTTCAGATTGTGATACCGCTTCGGTCAGGACAACTTGTTGCATTTTTATCACGTCTCTTTCTTCATGGGAGTTTTCCAGTAACTTGAGGGATCAGACACAGAATCGTTTACTTTGTCCATAATACATTCTTCCATTATCTGCACGATTTTTCTTTTATTTATGATGATCTGGAAGTAGGAATTGATAGGGATTCGTTTGGATCAGTTGTTTCTTCGATTCCTAGGCAAAATCTCAACAACACACAAGATCTGAATAACCGAATCACACTCTCCCAACTGAAAAAAAGTCAAACCGAGATACTAGAAAGATCTTGTGATAAGAGACGAGGGAATATTGGTAAGTAATTACTTAACATGAGCTAGTATGCTTGTGATAATCTTTTTGTTGTGTTACATACATTGTTAAAATCGCTAATTATAATTGCTACTTTACAGATTTATCGTATGCCAGACGTGGGTTGAAAGCAGAGGATCTCCTACCCGATGGGTATAATTCGATACTTATATAGCGAAAATAATTATATAATTTAACAATTTTAAAATGTAAATATATCAGTTGATCCCTAGTTAATAAAGATTTTCGTGTAAATATGAGATCAGGGGTTTTTTGTTGGCATGTTCCATGAAATTGTGTCATTTCTCTGATTCGCGGATTTAGGCTCGAAGATCCATTTCTTTGAAATAAAACACATGACATCAGCCCATTATAACGTGATGTGGTTTCGCGCGGTTACGATGTGGTTATAATTAATTTTTCTTTTTTATAGTGATTTTCCCACCAATATGCTTGAGAATTTTATCGCTATACATAGTTAGCCCTAAAAATCCCGGTTGAGACTTCTTGATGTTCGGATAACTAATTATCTGCCTAAAGGCCTTGACACGATCGATGTAGTCCTTGATCAATGCCTCGAGCAAGACTATTTAATAAATTAATTCGTACTGAATCAGTCAATTCTGATGTTACTCTAATTGCATAAATAAGATCTGTTACATTTAATGTATTGGTTGAAACCATTCTATTAGGTCCACCGGTAAAGATAACTCTTTCTTCGAGATACCCTTAATGGATCTGGAATAAGTGAAGGTAAATCAGAAACAGAGAAATCATCATCAGAATAATCTGGAATAAGTGGGGTAGAGCAGAATCCGAGAATTCATCATCGGAATAATCTGGATGTTTAATTTTAATTTTTGAATTGAGTTTCTTTATCACTTCTTCGCCAATCCCTTTACATTCTTCCAACCTAAGATATTTCAAATTAATACAATTGCGGGCTATTTCCTCGACAGCTTTATTATTAATCGAGCATTTACCAAGCTCAAGATGTCTAAGTTTTGAGCATGAACACGTTATTTCAGTAATACAACGATTGGTGAGACATTTACACGAATCAAGACACAGATGCTGTAGTTTCGGAGAAAATCTCGCAATTTTTATAATTGGCATATTAGTGAAACCCTTACTTTTATCAAGAATGAGAGTGTGTATATCTGGACATGGGTGTAGAATCGTGCTAATCAATGTATCTGAGATTTTTAAACCTTCCAACCTGAGATATATCATCTTTGAACAATAGAGTGGCTTTATTTTTCCACACATAACTCTTTTAAAGTTTATCAATTGCCGAGTAAGAACCCGAGACATATTTAAGGCACGTCGACTCTGCTGATAATTTTTGTTGATAAACTCAATGCGACGTCATAGAATAGGATCACCGAAGTGATACCAAAAGTGGTTAACAAATAAAGTAGGATAGAGGGATCGTAAAAAATATAAGACCTGTTCTAGCAATTCCGGTAAATTAATAATATTTAGACCCTTTTGGACATTTCTCCGCAATAGTTGCGCCATTTTCAAGTAATGGATTATTATATATCTTTAATCAGAAAAAAAGCTAATGTTCGGATAATTAATTTAGGCGCGCTTTTAAATCCGTATTAATAAACAATTACAATGACAGAAAGCTGATATGATTATGACCCAAAGGGTCACCCTAAAGGGCCTGATTGCAGAAATAAGATCTTTATCTAATGATGGAGCTTATTCGCATTTTGATAGACTTTTGATGTTTTATTATTGTTAACGACCATAATTACTTAACCTATCTTGCACTCTGCTATAGCTAATTATATATTTGCTACTTATTTCATATATATATAATATAGTTTTAATTTCTGCGTATACAAATGATTAGAAGATTAAGATCAGATGCTACACGCTTATCACTCGAAACAATTAGTGATATAATTCATTACGGGATCTAGCTAAAAAATATAATGTATCATATGCAAGAATTCGTTATTGCGATAAATAATTAATATTTATTCTACGTATAACGAAATATGCAATAACGTACAATGCAACATGGTACGAAATTCTACCCAATATTACCAATAAAATAGTATCTGATATTGTTAAGCAAGTATCGGGTAAAAAAAATCTGGATCTCTATTCACTGATTACTGGAGATAGTGAGACCCGAGATTCAGCAAAATATTATTATAAACTCGATAAAAAACTCAAACATTTCTCGAAGAAATTGTACACCATCTGAGTCCTCATCCTCGTCTTTATCTTCATATGAGTCGGTTTCTGAATGATATAATGGTGATAAAAATTTTACTGTAAATGTGAAAGTGAAAAGGCGTGGTTATTAAACATATCATCTGACGATTAATAACTAATTATATTACAAATTTAGATATCCTCAATTTCAGACGTGAAGTATTTTTATCAATTGGTTTAGTTATAAAAGCTTGAATTTCGGGTTCAGGCTCTAGATCTGAGTCAAGATCTGAATCGGAAGTATCGCCCTCGGCATAGTACATTCCAGAATCATGACGATCCATCTTATGCCTCATCGCAATTCTGCTGAGGAAAGCGAGATGTTGTGAAGTTGAATTTTGACCACTATGAACTCTAAAAGAGTGTTTACCTCCGATTTTCTTAACCTTTAGCTGTAATGCCATATGGCTTTAAAAATTTACTAAATACACCTATACTACGTTTTCCATTAATACTATAGACAGGATCACGCAACTTTCCAATTGTTATATTCAGTTAAGTAATTCTTTTGCACGTTCTGGATTCTTTTCTATGGATAGAAATGGTCGAGGTTCAGAATTATTTTTAATATACCCAGTACAATACCAAGAGTAATCGGGATTATACCATTCCAGATAATTTAATTCATCAGGCTCATAATGGATGATGCGAAGAGTAGTTACTTCAGCGGGTCTCATACTCAACATAATTATCAGATCTGCGAGATCTTGTGGGGTCTCAGTGGTATGGATATTACTAAAATAATTAAGATAAAGATAAATAAGTAACACTATTACTTGATATTGAATGATATTAATTTATTGGAGAAATTAGCAAGCCAGAATTTAGATATTACTCAAAATTATTATAAGATAATGACAGTCAATACTTTATCAATACCTTTATCCCATATATATTTTGTCAAATCTTTTTACCATATATGAGCTATAAAGTAACTAACCCATTAAGACCTAATATCATTATTTAAAGTAAAACTACCTTAAAGTCTGGTAACTAATATATATTATATGTATATACAATACAAATATTAAGACCATTGAGAAATTTTTTAATGCTATGGTTCTCAGAAAAAAATATCACTTATAAAATTAGTTCATATATTCTCTTTTTTTACCTTTTCTTTTCCATCTCTTTTATTAATATAACATATTAGTAGAACTTTGTGCATACTAGGTTACCTTGATTTATAAAGTTAATAATCAATTTGAATCATTATAGATAAACTGTTTATTATATAGCTTTAGAATATTTAGTCTTACAAATCACTGTATTATTCTCTATCTGGCCTCAACTATTAATTAACTGATTATTATGTGATTTAAAAAATTGATTAGTTTCTGGTTTTTATCTATTTCTTTAAATGGAATGATTTATATTTCAAGTTTTATAAGATCAATAATATCTGAGCAACAAGTTCTCAAGTGTTAAGAAATTATTTTTTAATTAAACTTAAATTTTTTCATATAATTTTAATTAAGTAAAGTTCAATATCAAAGTTTTTTTTCTATTTTAATTGGATATTAAGATTAAATATTCTCAGATTTAATTTTTAATGGCAATTAGAAATATATATTTTTATAATTTGTTAAAGAATATTATTGTTGACAAGAAATTTAGTATTTTCTTTTGAGTTAGAAGTTTTTATAAAATTATAAAGCAAAAAAAGTATTAAAATTTTTGATTTTTTGTATAATGTACGAGATATACTAGTAAAAAATTTTAACAATATCGTATAACTATTAGAAGATATTATATTGAAACAATATACTCAGTTTCACTAGGATATATAAAATTCTAGAATTTGTTATAAGTTATCTATATACTGTAGATAAATACAAAATTACTGTTCAAAGTTTAACTATATATCTCTCTAAAAATAAAGGTATTTGGTAGATAATAAGTCTCATTTGATAGTACATGAGAAAGAAATTAACATAAAGAATAGATAAGTTCTTCAAATGACCAAGAAAAGAAAGAATATTCAAATAAGACATTAATTATTGAGATGAGATCAAAAGAAGTGGAACTTTATAGGAAGTCAAATAATTAATTATTTTTTTTTTATAATTTTTTCTTATTAAATTCTTGTATAGTATAAAATATTTTCTTTTTCTTTTTTTTCAACTCATCCTGTTTTTAAAGTTCTGAATTAAAATATGTAACAGTGACAACTTGCTAACAACAATGTATGAATTAGAAGGATTTTCACTCAAAGTTCACCAATAAGCAAAAAATTGTTTTCAAAATCAAACTTAAAAATTATTATTGCTTATTATTAGTTTGTTGGATTTGAATAGAAAAGTTTGCTATATATGTATCATGCTTCATTTGATTAATAAATTAATAATCTAGCTTGAATACGGGTATTACAAAAAAAATAAAAAAATAAAAAATAATAATTTAAAATTATTGTAGTATTAAATTTTTCATTCTGACTATTACTTCCTTTCCATCAATATCAGTAAAGGTCTAAAATCTTTTTCGAAGATTTTTCTCTGGAAGTTTATTTCGTGTAGAAATCTGTTCTCTGATTTTATCGTTAATTAGATCATTTGTTATACGTATCTTCATTATCGTATCATATGATTTTCTAAAATAATCGGTGCGCAGTAGTGCAAGTTCTTATCATTTTTTGATCCCATGACTTTACAATCAAAATTCTAAAAGTAGGCGTGATAATAAATATGTAATAAATATCATAATGAAGTTTGATTGCCGGTGCAACTGTTTCAAACTTAATGGTTTCCAATCTTGGGCTCCCTGTAAAAGAAAATGAGGGTTTAAAAATCTTCAATATTTATAAAACTATCGCTGTTCATATTTTAGTTTTGTGAGAATTTATCCCTAACCCAGAGAATACACCTCGTGTTAATGATATCATTGACATTAAATATGATAATCGGAATGATAACATGGAACGTATAAACTCCTAAAGAGAATTCTGGATGTAGGTTATTTACAAATCCTAATCGTAACAGATCCAGATTTGAGATTCTATTAGCCTTGCAAGTGTCACAGTATGTTGCATTTCAGAATGTTGGTGGGAAGAAAAAAATACTGATGGCTGGCATTAATGTATTATTAAAATTGCATAGAACCCGATCCAGTTAAGAATGGAGAGAAATAGAGCTTAATTCACGAAAATTCAGAGTTTTACCTTTCGAGGTAATTCGGTTAACAAATGACATTAGAGTCTTTTCCAATCGTATTTGTGATAATCCTACTAACAATAATGCATTCATTCAATATTGAATGAAGTACACAAAAAGAAAATATGTAACTCTTTGTTTGTCTCGGGTTTCGTAACTTAAAGGATAGGATAGTAATTAATACAAATGTTCTGGCAGGCAGATTTTAACATTTGTACTATTTGAGAATCACTATTCATAGCTGAAGCGCAACGTATAACTGAAATTAACTAAAATATATTTTTTCTTGCACGTAAACTTATTACATCGTCGCACCCTTCACGCCTTTTAGGCAATTCAGTTGAATCTCCGAGGGTGGTTCAGTATACTTATGAGATTCAATATCGATATTCGGTGTGTTTTCTAATTGAAGTTCTGATACGCTACGACATGGTTACATAATATGGTACCAGGTCGATCTTTTTTTTTAATTGATTTAAAATTAAACTTATCGTTACCAGTTTTTAAAAGTTTCTCTTGAAAATGTCTCGTGCACGTACTTCAGATGCAATATGGGGGCAAGGGTTTTAGATAGATTTGACGAATTTTTACATAATTATCCAAAATTATCAAAAAAGCCGTTGGCAGAAAGCAGGTGTATTATGAATGTATTACTCTATCCTTGGGTACCTGCTAAATGTAAACTTTATATGGAATGCAGCTTGCCCTTGCAAATTGGCTCGAAAACATCGATCAAAGATTATAACACTTTTCTTAACAATCACGGGTCATCTGGGTACAAGTTCCAGTTCCAGTTAAATGACGACAATAAAACTGGCAACGTGTATATAATTGATATGACTTCACCCGTACACGAGAGTGTTGTTTCTCTGCTTCAAGATTTTTTTAAGATTCCTAACGGTAGTATTATTTTCGATCCTCCAAAAGTAGTCCTTGGTCAACCTCGTATGAGAATCTATTCTATTTTGCTTCTTTTTATTGAATTTCAATTCTTATAATCTTTTCATATAGTACACTATGCAC